TTTTTTATTTATTGTAGAGATGAGGTCTCGCTGCCCAGGTGGGTCTCGAACCCGTGAGCTTAGGCAATTCACTCACCTCAGCCTCCCAAAGGCGCGGGATTACAGGCTGAGCCACCGAGCCCGGCTAAGATTATATTTAAAATTTGAAGTCAATATAATCTCCTTTTCTAAAAATCTGTACCCTTTTCTAAGGTTGCTTAGCTAGAGTCCTGTTGATATAAGATAAAGTATTTAAAAATATATTGAAGTCTCATCTAATATCTCCTTACTTAGGAAGATGGAAGAGAAGAAGAGAAGCCGTCAAGCTGACTCTACCTCTCAGATAAGTCACTTTGTTTAACTAAACCCTTCTTCCTTACTACAAGCCATACCCAAGCACTCCTGGAGGGACTTCTGCAGCACAATCTGGACAATCTCCTCAAATTCTGCACTGGTAAGGCTTGATTTTTCCTGCAAAGACAAGGGTAGGGGAGGAAAACTGCTTGTCTTTCCATAGTTCTCCCCTATGACCGGCAAGGAAAGTCTCCTTTCGTTAGGCAGTAAGTTCACAAGACTGAAGGCATGAAGTCAACATACCTAAGCAGTCCATAATCTCTATCTCAGATCTCTTGGGAATGAAGGAGTCAAAGCGAAGGAAAAAGGCCATGAAGTCTCTGTCCATTTATACTCCCATCCTGCCTCATGCCCTTAGTTCCTAAATGTTTTCATGAAAACATTTTGACCTCTTTGTGAAGAAAATGGTAAGCCCCCCAAAATGAATAAAACTCTGAAATTACAGGGTGAATTTCCCCGACACGAAAGGACTCTGTTTGTATAGCCTGGGTATGGGGACCGGGTAGAAGGAATTGTCCCACTGAGCCCAACAATGTGACTCATACCTTTTCTTTTTTCTCTGCTTGCTGGTTGTCTTGAGCCTTCCCTTCTTCCTCCTGGCCACTGCTGAGACCATTTTCTGCAGCTGCTTTTTCCTTCCTCTTCTCTAACCTGGCCTTTGGAAGGCTTGCCTTGGCCTCTGTCTCTGGGGAACTGATCCCCATGGTCTTATCACACGAGTTAAGGCTACAAGGTATCAGGCTGGACAATTTCTGTGCAGGTGGGGCAAAGATTTTCTTTGGTTCCTTTCCACATTCTGAAAGAAATTTGGTAATCAATGAAATGTATGAAATACACAGCCTAACAGAGACTGCCAAACATTGCTCATTGATGGCTCTATCAGAATTATATAAAGAGAGCTTTTAATAAATTCAGATTCCTAGGTCTCTCTCTGCTCATTCTATTTCTCAGTCCTGAGATTCTCATGGAGTAATTTGAAATGAAGCCCAGAAATCTGTAATTTTACAAGGTTAGTTGATTCTGATACACTGCCAGGTTTGAGAACCACTGAATACATGAAAGTGATAAATATAAACATGCAGAAAGCTGAATTATTAAAATGCGAATTTTTTTTTTTTTGAGTCAGTCTCACTCTGTCACCCAGGCTGGAGTGCAGTGGCATGCTCATGATCACTGCAGCCTCAACCTGCTGGGCTCAGGCAATCCTTCCATCTCAGCCTTCTGAGTAGCTGAAACTACAGGCGCACACCACCACACCCAAATAATTTTTTTGATTTCTTGTAGAGACCAGTTCTCGCCAAGTTGTCCAGGCTGGTCTCGAATCCCTGGGCTCAGGCAATCCTCTTGCCTCCACTTCCCAAAGTGCTGGGATTATAGGTGTGAACACTGTATCAGGCTTAAAATGTGAAATTTAAAAAATTTGCTCATATTCGGATAACGTTTTATGGAAAAATAGAGCAATTTTTAAAAACTTGTCAATACATAAATTATTCTCAGATCTTATGCTACCTCCTCAATAAAGACTATACTGATCCGGGCTCGGTGGCTCAGCCTGTAATCCCGCGCCTTTGGGAGGCTGAGGTGAGTGGATTGCCTGAGCCCACAGGTTCGAGACCCACCTGGGCAACTTGGCAAGACCTCATCTCTACAATAAATCAAAAAATCAGCCAGGCGTGGTAGCACGTGCCTGTAATTCCGGTTACTCAGAAAGCTGAGGCGGAAGGATTGCCGGAGCCCAGCAGGTCGAGGTTGCGGTGGCCGGGAGCGGGCCCTTCACTCCAGTCTGGGCAACGGAGTGACACTCTAACTCAAAAAAATAAAAAATTAAAAAATTAAAAAAAAAAAGATTATACTGACCCTCCCAGATATATCTTTCTACTGAGCTTCCATAATACTTTGCACATCTTCAACTTTATAATAGATATTTGGATATCTTTTCCCTCCCTATGCGTTTATACACTCCTTCAGCAGAACTGTTTCTAAGTCATATTTATTTCACTCAAGGTATCTGGCAGAATAATAAAGTGAACAGAGAGGACACAAAATATATGTAAACTCACCTGTCCTTTGGTGAAAAGGATTGCCACAAGGAGAAAATGAGAGAAATGTTTAACATGAACCTCCCTTACTTTGACTTACCTTCTTTATTCTGCAATGTTGTCATCGTTCAGCTCAGAAACTACACTTTTTTGCCTCTGTTAGAAAAAAGAAATCAACAGCTATGACTCTGATTAAACATGATTTTAAACTTCTTCTCTCCCTGTCTTCCTGGGCTCAGAATCCTTTTGCCTGTGACCCCTGAACTACACTTCTTCCTCTTTGACTACACGTCTACCTCCTCAGCAGTGTGAATCACCTGCCAGGGAGTTATGAGATCTACGCTTTTAAAAATTAGCAACAATCCTTTGTATTTTAAATGCCTTGAACCATGTACAACATAAGGCAGGCATTCATGAGTAGGTGAAAATGGTAGTGGTGGTATCAGAAGCACAGGGAATAGTAGTAGAGCAGTGGTACTGGAGTATGAACAAACCTGGGAGTTAGAGTGGAAATTTTCTTCACAGGGATACCTCATTTCACGAGGTTCTCCTAAATACTTAGAAAACAATCTGGTAATTCTCTTACCTGATTCAGAGGTCCCTATGCATAGAGAACCCCCTTTTTAACATCATCATGATGCTTATTTTTCCCTTTTCTTAGATTCTTGGTTCAATAAATTTTCCAATATAATGGATTCTACCTATCTCTAATCATAGTTCAGAAATATCTGGTAACCACCAGAGGGCCCCAGAGAATTTAGTACCTTCTACTTTATTTTTCTAACCTAGAATCTAATAATGACAAATTAGTTCCTTCTTTGACATTCAGGGTTCATCTTCAGCAATCCATTCGCACATGTTCTACGCTACATCAATATGCTTCGTTATTACTACGGATATTGTGACTATTGGTCATGGCTAACACTTACTGAGCACTGACTACATCCTTTACCTTTTATGTATCATTCCACTTAATTATCACAACAAATCCACGACATAGGTAACAATTTACACTTGGAGAAACTGAGGTTTAAAGAGATTCTAAAAGATTAAGTCACTGATGATAAGTAGTAAAACTAGGATTAGAACCTGACGTCAAAGTTTGTGCTAAAAACTGTGCTATGCTACATCCTAAGTGTCTAATTCAGTGATTCACCACTGTTTTACCATCACAGCACAGAGAAAGCATACAGTAAAACTACATACTGAAATACAGAAAATGAGGCCAGGCGAGGTAGCTTTCACCTGTAATCCCAGTGCTTCAGGAGGCCAAGGCAGGAGGACAGCTTGAGCTCAGGAGTTCAACACCAGCCTGGGCAAAAGAGTGAGCCCTCGTCTACCAAAAAAAAAAAAAAAAAAAAAATTAGCCAGGTATGATAATACACACCTGTAGTCCCAGCTACTCAGGAGACAGATCCGGGAGGATCACTATAGAGTCCAGGAGGTCAACGCAGCAGTGAGCCAGGATCATACCACAGAACTCATCCCCCAAAGAAGATATTTCCAGGTACTCTGGGGTAAAAAGACCAGGATGTTCACAGCCATAAACACCTGGAGAGTCACACCAAAGGCTGAAGAAACCAGTGTCACCATGCTACTATAAGCCATTTGTAGCCCACTGATGTACCAAGACTCATGCAGGGACATCTGATTTACATTTTCCCATTGATATAATTTCTACTCAGCTATTAGAAAAAAACTGCCTTTTGTTTTATCAACCTAAACTTCTAATAGTCCTTCTGCCCAGTTTTCTTTAGGCCTAGAGCATATATGCCATTCTTATTTTTGTAACAATTATACTAAAGGCTCTGGGAAGGTCTTTAGAAGTCATAAGGTCCCATCTCTTCTTTCTACAGATGAAAAAATATGCTAGGAGAGGCTAAGCGGCTTGCCCAAAGCCTCAGTGTTAATACTTCATCAAGCTTAGATGAACCCAGGACTTTTGCCTGTAAATTCTACTAATAACACACCTATTCTACTTAGTAATCTTGTTTTGGGCTGTTGGGTTCAAGCACTCTGAAGGCCCTGCAACCGAAAATCATTCTATCAACTCTGCTCTCTCCCAGCATAGAGACCCAAAAGCAGCTGAATCCTTTGGCTCATATACACTTTCCTTTAAAGGATCTGAAAATTTTAAGGAGCTTAAATGGTCAAATTTGTTCAAGATGTAGGGTTCCTCTTTCTAGATCACAAAATGAACTCAAAGAGTATTGGGGGTTTGTGGCCACAGCATGGCTGAATATAAAATATTTTTAAATTACTCTTTGACATTTTTCTGTTCCTTTTCTTACTTCCATAAATGTGAATAATTTAGATGTGCTGTTCTAAAGCAACTACCTTTCCTTTATATATATACTTTTTTTTCTTTTTGAATCAGAGTCATATTCCATCGATCCTTCTGCCTCAGCCTTCCAAGTAGCTGGAACTGCAGGCATACGCTGCCACACCCGCTAATTTTTTTTACTTATTGTAGAGATGAGGTCTCACCCAGGCTGGTCTTGAACCCATGAGCTCAGGTAATCCCCTCGCCTCTGCCTCCCAAAGTGCTGGGATTACAAGTGTGAACCACCGCATCCAGCTACTTTTCCTTTATATTAAGGAGCACATTTTCTCACCATTTCCATCTTAACTCATCACCACTAACCCTCAACATATTTGCTCCAGGAAAAAAAAAAGGCAAATGAGAATTTGGAGGAGAAACACTGAAGTGGATTTGTCTCCTTTAGTATAATCCTAAATAGAAGATAGGAACTGAATTAAAATAGGCTATAAAAGGAATATTAATTTGACCACAAATTACAAGCATACTATAGAAATCCAAAAAACTTCATGAAAAGTCCCTGTGATTGTAGTCTAGATTACAAGAACTATACTAAGTGAGAAAAGGAAAGTGAAAATTAGTGTTTCAGATGACAATATTTCGCTTTTAAAATATATGTCTAGCCTGAATGGTGCATATTTGTATACCTAACCCTTAACTGTACCCCACAATATCATTTTTAAAAATTGATTAAAATTAAAAATAAATAAATAAAATAAAATAAAATATATGTCTACATAGTATTTTGTATATCCATAAATTATCTCAGGAAGAATATACAAGAAACCGATCAAAATGCCTCTGGGGGGTAGAACTGGGTGGACAGGGGCGGAAGGAAGTGTTTCAATGTACTCCCTTGTGTATCTGTGGCAGTTTAAAACACGTAAATATTACCACTTCAAAACATATGTTTTTATTTTAAATTCTTTAAATGAGAGTATTTTGACCAACCAAAAAAACCCAAACTTTTCTAATATTTGCGTTCAAATCCTTAGCTAAAGCTATATGGATCTTCCTAGGCCAAAGTGTGTTTCTGGAGCCCCAAGGAACTGGATGGAATTGTGGATCATTGTTGAGTTAATAAGATGTGATAAGTCCATCAACAGTGATGTAAAGTGCAATATGCATACTCTAAGGTGGGAGTGCGATAAAGAACTTTACTTTTAAACAAAAGTTCTAACCTAATCAGTAAAGAAGGGAAAACCAGGAAGTCTCTTTCTGATAACCCAAATTGCTGCGCCTCTGTTTCAGATGAATTACTACTGTCTTCCACAATAACAAGTATTGGAAGTTGGTTCAGAGGCAGAAAGAAAAATACAGACAATAAATATATAAAATGAGCCGGGCACAGTGGCTCAGCCTGTAATCCCGAGCTTTGGGAGGCTGAGGGGAGTGGATTGCCTGAGCCCGCAGGTTCGAGACCCGCCTGGGCAACTTGATGAGACCGCATCTCTACAAAATGCAAAAAATTAGCCGGGCGTGGTAGCACGCACCTGTAGTTCCAGCTACCTGGAAGGCTGAGGCGGAAGGATCGCCAGAGCAGGTCGAGGCTGTGGTGGCCGGGAGCGTGCCACTGTGCTCCAGCCTGGGCGACAGAATGGGACTCCAACTCAAAAACAAACAAACAAATATATATATAAAATGACACCATCTTTCTTCTGTTCAGCCACTAACAAAATGATCAGGAATGACACCTGAGGTTTTAATTGCTCCTTTCTTCCCTGAAATGACAAGTGTAGAGGCACCCAAAGGATTTAAGTAAGAAAAGTAAGGCCGGGCACAGTGGCTCATGCCTGCAATCTCAGCACTTTGGGAGGCAGAGTGGAGAGGATGACCCGAGCCCAGGGGTTCAAGACCAGCCCCAGCAACTTGAAAAGACCTCATCTCTACAATAAACCAAAAAACTAGCCGGCTGTAGTACTGCACACCTGTGGCTCCAGCTACTTGGAAGGCTGAGGCGGAAGCACCGCCTGGCCCCAGCAGGTCGAGGCTGCAGTGGCTCTGAGCTGACACCGCACTCCAGCCTGGGAGACAGAGTGAGACCCCGCCTCAAAATAAATGAATGAACGAGTGAATACAGGAAATCAAGGGAAGGTGAATGAGCATCCCCAAAAATTTCACTTAGAACCCTAAGAACCATATTCATTTTGAGAGGACATCATCCAGCCTAGCAGTTCTCAAACTGCAGCACAAAACCTCCTAGGGGGGCCCTCCCTTTTCCAACCATATGCCTGATATTCCCAAGTACGTAAGTATTTTAAATTCTTCTCAACTAGCCGGGCTCCGTGGCTCAGCCTGTCATCCCGCGCCTTTGGGAGGCCGAGGTGCGTGGACGGCCTGAGCCCGCGGGTTCGAGACCCGCCTGGGCGGCGAGACCTCATCTCCACAATCAATCAAAAATAAATAAATAAACAAACAAATTCAGCCGGGCGCGGTCGCGCGCGCCTGTAGTTCCGCTCC